TTGAACTTCCTACCTTCTTGCCCTTTTTATTTGTCTTTAGTGGATTGAGTTGGGCCTCCTTTATGGGCTTACTAGGAGCTTGTGCTGTTACAAAAACTTCAACATACCCCTCTGCATTTATTGTCTTTAAAAGGCCCTTAACTTCTTCACTGTTAACTAGTTCCCTTTTCCCAGTGTTAAAGGTTTTCCCCTTCTGCCTATACCAACAGTTGTAATGCATAGGCACAACCATGTCACCATTAACAAATCCATGAATTGCAGCTGTTCTAATCAAATGCACATTCAACTTAGAAACCTAAACTTTCCTGTACCAGTAACACCAACCACCACACCAACACAGCAGCTGCCTGTCTTTGCTAACTCTTTTAGGGACAAAAGCACCTCCCACTCTAAGGCAGATGTCAACCATACCATCATTGTCAACCATTATCTACCCACCAGTGAAAGAGATATAATACATATTAAAAGCCATTTAATATTTCAATAATGTATCAATACATGCACATTATGAATAAACAAATCCATCCCAATTTTCAAACTTACACTACAAAGCACCAATTCCAACATTTATGCATAAACAATTGAAACTACACAATTGAAACCCAATTCAGGTACTCAGTAACATAAATTAATAAACAAATCACACATTGCATGTACAGTTAATAGTAGCTTAATTAACAATAAACCACTTTAATTAATCTCTAATTTCAATTAAGGACTCCAATTAACCTAAGTCGCATAGTCAATTGCAGAAAATTGATTATTTTAGGGTTTCCTACTCTGTTGCCAAAACTGACCCTAATTTAGCCAAAAATTGCTATTTTAACACCAGTAATAGACGAAATAGCTATCAAAAGATAAAAAAAATACCTTCTTTGGTGTCAGATTTCCAGCAACTTTCGCCCTTTTCTAGTTGATGAAGATGGGTGAAAATGTGAAAATTCAATGTGAAAATGTAAAATGTGAAAATTCAATGTGAAAATGTAAAATGTGAAAATTCAATGTGAAATTCTTCAAGATTCAGAAAGAATTCAATGAAGATGGTTGGTGATAATTCAATGAAGGAAGAAGGTACGTGTTTTGCTGGGTGAAAATTGGAGGTAAAACCAAATCCTGGGACCCACGTCAATTTTCCGTCACATAAAACGTTAACTGGTGGTAACTTCAAATTTTTAATTTTTTATGTGGTGTTAAATAGATTTTTTATTTTTTATTTTGGGGGTGTTAAAAACCATTTTCATCCTTTTGTCTGGTGTTAAAATCCAAAATATCCTTTTTTTTTTACGAATTGTTAATACATTATTAAAGATAGTGATGATCAAGGTATTTTTTAAAACCGTACAAAGTAGAATTGAACGCTTTATTTGAGACAGAGGGATAATGTCAAATTGGGGTATTTATTTCAAAACGGAGGAAGTTTTTCTTGAATTGGAAAAGTTGCTGAAACAATTATTGGTTGTGAATTTGTGATTTCAAAATGTGAGCACATTTGCACAACCAAAAGAGTCACGTGTCTTCCTATTTAACAGGACAAATCAAGAGAAAAAAAATTATATCTTCAAACATTGATTATATGATTTACTTCCTTCGTTTTTAAATACTTGTTCCACTTTTTATTTCGGGCCGTTTTTAAATACTTGCTCAATTTCCTAATTTAGAAAATAAAATTTACAATATTTAATTCACTTCTCTCAACTAATGGGCTCAACACAAACCATATTTTATTAATTTCATATTCTCTCTTTTTCATTTCTCTTAACTACTTTTGTTTTTTACTATTTATTATTCTTCCACCTACCCCTACTACCTCCATATTTTATTACTTTCTCCAATTTCTTCTAAAATTCCGCACATGAAGAAATGGAGCAAGTATTTAAAAATGGAGGGAGTACTAATAATGGAACAAACAAGTTATATCTTCTTGTTATTTGTGCCTAAAAAAAGATATGACAAATAAACTTTGTATTCCAAACTCCCTTATATTCCTGTGATCTAGTAATCAAATTTCATGGAACTCTTTTAAGGAATTTCTCTTATCTTCCTCTCTAGTTAACAACACTTTGTTTGAATTGAAGGAAATGGAGAGAAAGGAAGGGAAGGAAAATGAAGGATGATATCTTATATTTTGGATAACAAAAGAGAAAGAAAGGAAATTGGAGGGGAGAGGAATGGCGAGATAAAATAGTAAGAAATTGATTTCTCTAACAAAAGAGATATTTGGAAGGAAAACCCATCTTTTGGTTGAGGCTTAAGAATATGTTTTATACTCTATCACGCGCCTCACCGCGTTTAATATTCCGCTTTGAAAGGAGGGGTGGATGAGATTTAAATCCGTGACCTTTTTATCACATTTGCTTCGATACCAAGTTAAAAGACCAACTTAACCAAAAGTTTAAGCTTATGGTTAAGGCCTAGGAATATGTTTTATACTCTATTACCTTTTCTCCTCCCCTTTCTCTACCCGAACACACGGTAAGTTTTCTATAACTTTCATAATTACGTCTTTTCCTATCAAGATTATCTTTCTTTACATAATGAATATATCTTATCCACATGTGCACTCTAGCTCCAGTTGATACCCAATAAGAAAAATGATTATCGAGTGTGTTCTTGTCAATCCAATTCATAAATTAATATGCTGTTTTATAATATTAATTTCCAAAACATATACTATGTACGAAGTATTACTTATATGTGTTATTATTTTTTTTTTAAGAAAAACTTATATGTGTTATTAAATATATTAATTAAATTTATACAAAAAAAAATAAAAATTGCAAATAAGAACCTTCTAAAACGATTGAGACGAATTTAAACCTGAAAAAAGGCCCCACTCTTGGCATGCTAAGTGCAACTTCTTCAATTCATCTCCATCTCCACTAATTAAATCTTCCATGTTGATAATTGGTAACTGAAGATGATTATTAGAACAATAATTTTCTTTACTTTCGTAATATCATCTAATATTATTGGAGGCTCTTGATCAGATCGGATCGATGTATCTTTCAGGAATTTCTTTTAGACAACAACCTTTGAATAACTCTTGAACACTTGGTACTATAATTGATTTTCTTAGGCTCACTGTTTTTCCTTCACCTTCCATCTCTCTCTCTCTCTTTCTCTCTCACACCCTCTTTTTTACAGTTTTTTTTTTTTTTTTTTTTTTTTTTTTTTTTTTTTTTTGGATAGACTTAAGTTGAGAAATGCTAAATATATATAATTTCTCCAAGGGGTATATGTGGTCCAGTTTGGCGCGGTTTGGGGCATAACCCAAACCACACCATATATTATGGTTTGATATTTTGCTGAATCATACCAAATTGTATGGCATGTCAAATCGGACCAAATCGAACCGCATTAAAACCGTATGTTGCGATTTAGTTTACGATTTTACAATTTTATTTTATTTTTTTAAGCAATGATACTGTAGGGATTTTTCACTCCGCCCTACATGTGAGTCATGTTTTTAAGTATGACGGCTCTCCAAGGTAAAGAAGCTAGAGAAAAAGAGTCGCCAACAAGTTTTAGGAACTTGTAAACCGTTCATGATTATGAAGGTTACATTACACCCCATCCACAATCACAGAGATTGTTAACTCCATAGTGGTGCGGAACCATGACAGAATGTTTGGAGATGATGGTACGAATATGACTTCCAAAGAAGTCAAACTTGCCCTAAAATAGTCCTCTACTTCTTTCTTATTGATGTTCATGCGCGCTTTTTGATTAACATACATACATCAAATTAATCCTAAACCTATTTAATCTATGTTGGTTGATTATTAATACACAATTAATTCTAATATTGGTGATCATCACTTGAATTAAAATCATGTTAAACCTAAATCCAATTATTAGTTATCTTATTAGGCGTGATTTCAATTACAAATTCCCTTTAAACCTGCAAAAGGGACGTGATCAAGCAATAGCAATAAATCATGACTAATCAAAAGGGACGTTTTTTTTATGTGCAACTTTGGGCATTATTATGGTTCACGAAGCAAAAGATTGAAGGGTAAAGTTTAGGAAAAGTAAGTGAGTTTAATTAAAGGGGGAGGAGAGAGAAAGTGTGGCCACCCACAATGAATTTTGGTGGGAAATTATGGCAGAAAATGCATGTGGGGTATTTCCCCCCAAAAAAACCACCGAAAATTTCAAGGATGGTTTTTTTTGGGTTGAAATTTTTGTTTCCCCCCAATTTTTTAAAAAAAACCTGCCAATCTCAATTATTTTCAAAAAATTTAGGGGGCTATATAACCAGCCAACCCACCATTAAATTTCAGAATTCAGCATTTAAGGAGGGAATAAAAGCATCCTCCATTGTCACACATTAAATACAACCATAAATGTTTGAAGCTGGGTTACACACACCAGCAAAAACAGAGTTCCTTCACCCAAAAATTACACCTTCCTACCTTAACCGTTACGGTTAGCTTAATTACAAACTACCTAAACACCAGCAAAAACAAAGTTCCTTCACCCAAAAATTACACCTTCCTACCTTAACCGTTACGGTTAGCTTAATTACAAACTACCTAAACTGTTCACAGCTTTACAAAAAAAGGGTTGCGCTGCTGTCATTACTGCACAACTGGGTTTAGTCTTCATCTTCAACCCAAAAAATCAGCAGGCCCCTCACTCCATCTCCCTGTGCTTGCAAAAAACACAGACATGGCAGAAAATGGTGATTTTGTTTTTTTTGATATCGAACACATTCTAAATGAAGAACATATGGCAGAGTTGGGGTTCGATGAAGAAGAAGAGATACAGGATGCAGGCATTTGGGAGTACGATTCAGAAGATGAAATCATGGATGCTAACCAAGAAGAACAACAACAGCAACAACACACAGACACTGATTTTGAACACACACAAATGCAACAGCAAGCTCATGAAGGGACTCATAGTGTATGCAGAAAGCAACTAACAATGCAGCAAAGAAGGAAAATTGTTGATGCAATTTTGGTGAAAATGAACAATGGGACATTACCAAGGGTCACATGAAGCAATTATCATCTGATTTCAATGTTCACAAATCAACAATCACAAGAATCTTCACAGACATAAAAAGGCAGCTGGCAATAGGGGACTTGATTGATGTCAGGACTAAAAAAATTGGCAAAACAGGGAGAAAGCCATTGCAAATTTCTGATGAAACTCTCCAGTCAGTCCCATTACATTTAAGGCAGACAGAAAGGAGCTATGCAGGAGCATTGAAGATCAGTCTTAGTACATTTCACAATTTGAAGAAGAGAGGAAGGCTAAGAACACACACATGCTGCAACAAACCATTGCTGACATCAGACCATAAGGTTGCCAGACTAAGATGGATTTTGTCACATATAAATCCAATTACAGGGAATGAGGACCCCACATTTGTTGACATGAGGAATGTCATACACTGTGATGAGAAGTGGTTCTACTTAAACCCTGATAAAAGGAGGTTTTATCTACTGTCAAGTGAAGAGGATCCTTACATGGCAGTTCAGTCAAGAAGATTCAAGCTCAAGCCAATGTTCATGGAAACTATAGGGAAGCCATTATATGGCATAAATGGAGAAATGTTACATGATGGGAAGTATGGCATCTTCCCATTCACTGTCCAGCAAGTAGCACAGAAATCAAGCAAGAAAAGAGCAAGAGGGACTATGGAAACAAAGGCACTCTAGAATATAAACAAAGAAGTAATCAGAGAGATGCTGCTAACAAAGGTCATTCCAGCAATCATGTCAAAGTGGCCTGAAGGTCTGCCCAAGGATATGGTCATCCAATGGGACAATACAAGGCCTCACCAAGTTCCTACTGATGCTGAGTTTCTGGCAGCAACAACAGCTAATGGCTTTAACATTCAATTTGTTTTTTAGCCAGCACAGTCACCTGGTTTGAATGTCCTTGACTTAGGGCTTTTTAGGTCTATACAATCTTTGCAATATCAGTCTTTTCCTAGGGACTAAGAGGAGCTAGTTGAAAAGGTCAGACACTCTTATGACACATTCAACCCCCATGTTAACAAGTACATCTGGGTTACATTGCAAAAATGCATGATTAAGATACTCAAGGCAGAAGGTGGTAACAAGTACAAGATACCACATATGAACAAAAAAAAGCTGGAAAACCTTGGCAATCTTCCAGAAATAGTAGAGATTTAGAAAGAGGTAGTATTGGAGGCTGTGGAGTACCTAAACATTATGTTTAGGCCAGCAAATCAAGCCAATGAAGAAGTCACTGAAGATATGGAGGTGGATGCAGATTAGGGGACTCATTACAAGAACAAGACAACACATGGACTGCCACACATAACCATTTCTCTTAGTAAGTTTCTTTATTTGTTTTTTCAAAAAATTGTTGAAGAATCAAGGGGTTAGGTGTAATATTTTGTTCATTACAATTATCCAAACAAGTAAGGCAGTATGTTGTAATGTCTTTAGATTATGATGTGGTCTTTTGCAATGTTTTATGTTCATTACTCAAAGGTATTGTCTTTTTGTACCCACATTTTTAATGGAATATGAATGACAAAGATAGACAATTTATGTGGGCACTCAATCCATCAGAGGGTTACACTGTCATTGTTGAATACTACACATATGCACAAGGGTACCTCAACAACAACAGCATTAAGCATGTTGATGGAGCAATTCACTTGTGATTTGTGAAATTCAATGGAGTCCCTTCATCATGTGGATATGGGTAAGCTAAATATCATATCAAAGTATGGGACTCAATACAAACCAGCAAACACAAGCTAATCACAGGGGACTCCTTTTAAGGGACTGACTAGGCAACAATGAACATGCATAAGACACCAGCCTCATCATTCATCAATCAAGTCCACACAGCCAACATAGTCTATCCCAAGGAACAACAACACAATGAACATGCACAAGATACCAGCCTCATCATTCATCAATCAAGTCCACACAGCCAACATAGTCTATCCCAAGGAACAACAACACAATGAACTCCACACAGCCAACATCAAACATAAGCCAAAATAGACCATGCCAATCAACAAAAACACAATCAACTACACACAACCAACATAAAAAATAAGCCAAAACAGTCCATGCCAATCAACAACATCACAATCAACTCCACACAGGCAACATCAACCATAACCCAACATAGTCCATGCCAATCAACAACAACACAATGAACTCCACACATGCAACATCAACCAGAAGCCAACATCAAACATCCAACATTATTCCAACAAAACAACAGAACATGCAATAGATACAACATTAATTAAAACACTCAACAAACCGTAGTATCCAGGGTCACAGAAATTTCCTCAACAAACCCTAGTATCTAGCATATATCAACACAACAAACAATTAAACCCCCAGATTTATCATAACCAACACCCGCATCAACACAACAAAATACGACAGGATAACATCAAACATAACCTAACCTAGGATAACAAAAAAAAAACCATACAACCCAACATGCAACCAGATCTAGTCAAACATTCCCACAACAGCAAACCCTAGTATCCAGCATAGATCAACCCAACAAAAATTAGGACTCTTTTTTTTTAAAAAAATTAACAATATTAGGGTTAGGAATCGTTACGCAAGGGTTAGTGCTCAGCCTCCTCATCAGAGGAAAGCACCACGAAGTCGCGGTCCGGCAAACCCCGCATACATCTCAGCACCACCAATGCCGCCATCCTACGTTGCCTAATCTTCGGCGGAGGCCTGGAAGCCTTAGATCGAGGCTTGGGGATGGGCGCAGCACTACCCTCCACACTTTGGGACTCCAGATATACACAAACGACATCAAAATCAAGTTTTTTTTGGCCATGGGACTCGCCTTCACCCTCATCCTTGTTCTTCTTCTCCGCCTTGTCAATATTTTTCAAAACTTCCCCCAAAGTCTTGAATGTAGTCGGAGAACAGCAACTTGGCCCATCTTCATGCGTGTACAGGCGACGAGAAAAATCATCACCTCTGTTTAAATCGTTAATCAGGGACTTGATCAACTTAGCCTCGGTGTTGTCGTCGGTGCCAATATAGGCGTCAATTAGTGGATCTAGGTCAGCCATGGAAAATTGGGACTCTGGATTTCGAAGGAAAGGGGAGGGAAAGGGAGATGTCATGAGGTGAAATGGAGAGGAAGGAGGCGAAGGACAGAGGAAGGAGAAGGACACAAAGAACACGAAGAACACAAAGAAGACGAAGAACCAAATCTAGGGTTCTTAAGAACTCTCTAGATCAGTTTGATAAGGTGGTTGGGAAAGATGGAGAATTGTGTCGGTTGGGAGGAGTAAATGGAGGGAGTAATTAGGTTAGGGTAATTTAGGTGATTTGAGTTAAGTGGGGGTTTATGGGTAATAAGGGGTAAAAGTATAAAGTTTTTAATTTTAATGAAGGGTAACATAGTAATTTTAAGGGTTTTTGTTTACCCAAAATGGAAAGAAAAAAGAAAGTTGCACATAATAGTGAACAGACTAAAATGGCAAAAGTTGCACATAAAAAAAACGGAGGTAGTATAATGATCATCATCATAAGAACATCATCAAAAACATCGTTAGTAGTAAGATCCTAGGCATGATACTAAACAGATTAATAACAATCCTAGCATGTCACTAATAACAAAATCAACACGTTATCCTAAACATAATACTACTAATCAAAATCAAAATCAAAACATTATCCTAAACATGATTTCTATTCGAAAGAGTAATTAAATTACTTACTTTGATGCCTCGACCTTCTTGCTATAAGATCAATACACACGTTAGTAAACTGCAAGAAAGTAAAATCAATAAAGTAAATAATAAATTAAATTAATTAAGAATAGAAATATAGATTTGGGATCAAACTCTCAAAAATATCAACCTTTCACGTCGAGGTCAAAGACAACGTCGAGTATGGTTTGGAGTATTCGAATCACGCAAAGGAAGTATGGTGAATGATTAGGATGAATCAAGGATGTGTTTAGGCTAAGAACATCGGGAATTAGGAATTTCAAAGTATGATGATTATGAAGGTTGTTGATAAGGATTGTTGATGATGCTTGTTGATAATTGTTCGTGATTGTGACCCCCTTGAAAACGAGGGAAACGACCTCTATTTATAAGGAAAAAAGAGAGTCGAAACGATCAGAAAAAGATTAGAAGTTCTGGACGCAATAAAACTCCTCTGACGCGACACGACAGGTTTGTCACGGCACGTTGGCTTCTGTCGCATCGCAATAGGACTGACGCGGTGCATTGGACCTGTCGCTGTGCGATGGTTCTAAAAGATATCAAAGTTTGCGCGAAATTTGGTTTCTGATGGGTTTTCTATACGAAATATATTCGAACGTCTTTGAATTTGAATAGGATAAAGATTATCATATGAGAAGTTTTATTCAATCTCGAATTTCTTTGATCTTTATCCTTTCGGAAAGGATAGATTATAACCTTTTAGAGGATCTTAACTGATTTAGGATTAGGAATATGATCATATGGGGCCTAAATAAAATATTTGGACTCCATATAAACATTGGTCCGTATTAAAGGCGGACCTAGGCTCGGTTTGGGCTCGGTTTAGTATTTTGGCCATATCTCATTCGTTTTAAGTCAGATTTGAGCTCATAATATATCGTTAGAAAGCTCTTTTCAAGCCCCATCTATCTAAATAATAACGGGACTGGGAAAATGGAACAAAAATAATCATATTGGACTTTTTTTATAATTTGGACACGAAATGAATGATTTAAGGACACGAAACGAATAATTTTGGATTTAAACACTTTGGGTAAGTTTAGAAATATGGTCAAGGCTTAAGAAAACTTTGCGCGACCCTTCAACACTTTTCCGAACTCGTCAATCAAAACGTGAAAGGTACTCATCACTAGGTTTGGTGTTTGGGGAGACACAATTAGGTGTCTATAGAAGCCCCCACATTGACTGAGTTTGGAGAAACGTAAGTTTTGAACACGCTAGTCAAAGTATTTCGTAAGGGACGGAGAATGATCTAGAACGTTCTGCGATCGTAGACTATTCTTTTAACACTGATATTTGCAAGAAATGTCAGTTCTACAAATAAAGGAGTTAAAGGAAAGAAACGCGTATCTGACACCATCGGACACGCGTTAGTGATGACAATCCACTTTAGGAACAGTTGCCGACACAATTCTTGAATGATGAATGACAATCCAGTTTAGGTAAAGTTGTCAATGCCACGTAACAATCCATCATAGGAAATGTTGCCACGATAAAACGACAATCCGCACCTCGAAAAAATGGCCAAAATCCAATTCGGGAAAAGTTACCAATGCTGCGTAACAATCCATCAGAGGAAATATTGCTACGATTGAAAATCCACACCTTGGAACATAACTCTCGAAAGACAATCCACTTCGGAAATTTTGCCATTGCTATGCGACAATCCATTTAGGAAAATATTGCTACAATCGACAATCCGCGTCTTGGAACATTTGTCAAATAAGTCGATCGACAATCTGCTTCGGGAACATTTGCCACCATTGAGATGAATAAAAATCCACGTCGGAGAACTTTTTCCGAAATATTAAGTTGAATAAAGACCCATGACAATCCCCTTTGGGAAATTTTTCCATGGGGAACTGGGTGAATGACAATCCAATCTCGGAAAAATTGCCAAATGAGAAAGGCACGTGACAATCCACTCTTGAAATATTGCCAAAGGAGATGACA